CAGAGCAGGTCTGGAAGTCATGCTTGCAGACTAAGCCATGTCAAAGGAGGCAAAGTATGTAAAACATTTGAAGAAGCACGCTACATAATTGCTTATCCTCTATCCCAAAGATGATAAATCCTGTCACCAGAGATAAGAATGCAAATTAAAAATATCTCAATGTCCTTAATATTTATCTGAACATCACGTTTACGTCCCCAGATATGATGTCACAAGGTAGATTTTCCAAAGCAGCTGTGGCTCATCGCTGTAAACTTCCCACATCCTTATTGTGTTCATGGAGATCTCTGCCATCTTCTTCTAAAGACCTGCACACCTGCTGTGATATGGATGGTGAACCGAGCTCAGTGTGTGTCTTAGTGAGACTTCTGGAGGCTGGAAAGTTCAAGGCCAGGTCACCTCATCTTTTGTGAGGGTAGTGAGCAGACAGGTGTGTACAGACAAGAGAACAGGAAGGGTAGACCACCTCATTTGTGCAGTTTGTGCTTTTGCTTAATATTTTTCTTCAGGAGAGATGGTCTTACTAGTACCTAAGGCTGACAAATAACTCACTGTGTAGACCAAAGTGCCCTTGAACTCTTGCCTCAGTCTTTTAAAGATAGGGTCTCCCTGTAGCCACAGCTGACTAGGAACTCAATATGTAGACCAGACTAGTCTCAGTCTCACAGAGATCTGCTTGCTTCTGCCTTCTGAGTGCTGGGATTAAAGGCCAGTGCAACCACATGTGGCTGCAAATATTGTTTTGAAGTCTAAGAAATCCTATCTGTAGTGCTCATTTCATTTAACTATCCCAGGACTGCGTTTCCCTCAATGAACAAATGAAAATGCCTAGGCTTGAACATTCAGAGTGACTTGTTCGAATTTCTACTACCAGAAAGGATTCGAATCTTAACTTCAAATAATAAGATTTAATCTTCAATGAAAGCCTACCACACATTTGCCAGGTTATGGTCAAGCACTATTTACGTATCTTTAATCCTCACGGCAACCATGAGGGGAAGTAGCACTGCCAGTATGCTGTGCTAAATCCAAGACTTTGAGGATGTGGAGACTTAGCTGAAGTCACTGAGGAGCTCAGGCTGGTATTTCCAGTCTGGTAGTGTCTCCTCGGTTTTGGAACTCATGCTTTCATTTTTGTTGAAAACCCAGGTCCTTTTGAGTCTATAGTCTGTCCATGTTCTATGGACTGAGCAAGTCCTTATTTTAAACATAGGTCAAGAGTAGCAAAGACATGCCCTTAAGTAAGTTACTTTACCTTTGAATGGTCTCTTCTTTTAGAAATGGGAGACAAAACCACTGCCAGTTTGGGGAGGTTTCAAAACGGTCATGCATGACACGGGTCGTCCTCTGATGGTGGTGTCTCTGCCATTTCTTCAACCACCAATCACTTCTGATCCTCTCTGACAATAACTTTTTATTTCTTTGGTTTAAGGACAAGGCTCGGGATCTTCTAATCCTGGATGAGAGGATGGAAAAGAAAATGCCTAACAGCAGGTATTCTGGAAGCTTTCACACTCCATCCAAGGACCTGTATGTACACTGTTGAGATGTATTAATGACTGGACTGTGTTTCGGCTGACCTCTGGTGTGTGCTGACAAGTGGCAGATTTGAGTGCTGACTCAGAGATCTGGAAGATTAAGAACCACGTAAGGGGATAGAAGCAGGCGAGATGAGACACAGCCTAGAGTAGGTCCTATGTTGAGAACATGCAGTAGTCTGGAGGGAAGCTGGGATGCAGGGGCCACTGAAGGATGAGAAAGCCTCTGAAGAGTGATGGGCGAAGGCTGTCCAGGGGTCAGTAAATGAAGAACAAGCAGGGAACTGAGCCAGGGCCGGGTGAGGTGAGGTGGGTGTCAGTCTTGCCTACATAACCAGTTCCTCTTCTGTTGTTCAGCTCCTCCCCCTGGTGCTTCCTTAGCAGTGTCACCTGTTTTTGTCTTTTCTTTAGTGAAAAAAGGATTTATTTTTATTTTATATATATGGGTGTTCTGTTCTGTGGTGTAAGGTGTGTGTGTGTGTGTGTGTGTGTGTGTGTGTGTGCATGTGTGTGTGTGGAGAACAGAGGACAACTTTTGGGACATGATTCTAACCTACTGTGAGATCTGATTGATGGGTTTGTGCAGCAAATGCTTTAATTTGCTGAGCCATCTCACCAGCCTACTGATTAAATTGTTTTTAAGATCATAATAACAACAAAAACAAACAAAATGAAGGAAAGAAGAAACAGGAAAAGAAAAAAATATATTGTAAATGGCAAGTATTAACAGTAAGGGATTGTGATTGTCTAAACTATCATATATACAAGTAGTTAATAATTATATATGATTTTACAAAGATTAATGTAGTTGAATATCTATAAAATGAGGAAATGCTTATTACCTAAAAAACAACTGATCAAAACCAGGGTGTAAACCATGGTTGTATAGAGCTGTAATCTTGGTGTTGAATGGGCAGAGGCAGGACTGTGAGTTTCAACAGTCTCCTACAGAGCAATTTTAAGACATTCTTGGTGACATAACAAGACCCTGTGTCAAAAAAACAAGAAAAAACAAAACTGCAAAAACAAAACACAAACATAATCAAAACCTAAAGACTGAGGATATGGCTGAGTGGTACAGCACTGGCCTCACAGGCCCAAGGCCTGGAGTTTGATGCCCAGCACCACTGCATGTGGACCAACACCGACTTCCATACAAAACACTATGTAGAGATAAAAAACTGGAAGCCAGGCAAGGTCATCCCAGCACTCAGGACACAGAAGTATGTTGATCTCTGTGAGACTGAGGCCAGTCTGATCTCTGCATCAAGTTCCAGGCCAGCTTGGGCTACACAGAAACCATGTCTCAGAAATCCAACTTTTAAAAAAAAAAAAAAAAAAAAAAAAAAAAAAAAAAAAAAAAAAAAAATAAAAAAAAAAAAAAAAAAAAAAAAAAAAAAAAAACTGGAAGAATACATAAAGAATTTCACAGTGAAATGTGAATGTTTTAAAGGCATTCCTAAAATACACTGAGCTGCAATAAACATAATTCAAAAACACTGAAGTAATCTCTCTCTTTAAAAAACAGAGACTATCTGACAGTTGGTAAAGTGTGGAGATGACTATACTCACACTATTTTTTACATATATACACATATATCCATATATATAAATAAGATAGTCATCTTTTCTTTCTAGTATTTTCCTGTAAGCATCTTCAGTTTCTGCTGAAGATATTGGTGCTTTTTTTTTTTCTAAAGACATGTTCCTTATCAGCTAGTCTTCATCTACTGATTTTGAACAGGTTTTTGGCGCATTTGAATGGAGGACTGTGTACCTGGTCACCATCTTTCCTTCCCTGGCACTATGAGCTTTCATCACATAATTTCCTCTTTTCACTTTGGTCACGTGGAGGGGCAGAACATTTTGCGTTGGAGGATCAGTCAGTGGCCACCCACTTCTGCCTTTCACCTTGGAGCCTTTGAGGGGCTGAGGACACAGAGCCTGCTTGTCCTCCCTGGGACCATTTCTCTCCACCAGCATTGCTGCCTGGCTGAGATTCAGGTAAAAGCTGTTTTTATTACTTCAGGTTTCCAGACGGTGTGGCATGAGAGTGAGACTGACAGGGAAGCTGTCTTTATTGATCCTGTGAGAACAGCATTAGCTCTGTGAAAACTGGAGTTCAGCCTTGATGAAATGGCTTTTTTTTTTTAATCCTTGGTGTGCTGAGGGTTTTGCTATGAGTTAAAACAAGGAAGAGGGATTTGTGGAGCTACTTACTTTTGAATAGGGTTGAATGATTTACAGATTATCTTACCTACATAGAAGAATTCTGATAGGAAAGACTTTTTCTAAAGAAATTAAGAAAAATAGAAATATTTAGAAAATTTCATAGATTAAAATAATTTGAAAGGAATTCATGAACAATTTGTTTTCCATATTACATATTTACTAGGCCTCACCTTCTCATACTGATTAATATAAGAATAAATGAAAATTATAAGTATGTATTATTTAATTATTTCTGTATTGGTATCCATTATCAGGTGAGTCCGTTACGGATATTAGCTAATGATTACCTATCGACAAATTTTATTTTTACATACACATCTCTGGGAACATCATTGACTACAATATTGTTTACGAAATGTTCATACACATAGAATCATTTAGAATTAAAAATACAGGTGTTAGGGCTTCAACTCTACAGCTATTTATCAAACTTTGTAATTTAAATTTTTAATCACCTGCAGCACTAATCTTTAAATAACAGTTTTGGAAGCAGCATCTATGAAACTCTGATAGAAATATGTGTAACTCAAAAGACTACAATAACATTTTCATACTTATGTGTTTATCAGAATATATGTAAAGGCTTTGAAAAAAGATACTTTTTCAGAAAGCTTTGAATTTTGTATTTGAATTGACAGTTTAAAAGTGTTTCTGTGTTTCCCTGGGTGTGGTGGTGCATTTCTTCAATCTCAGCACTCAGAAGGCAGAGGCAGGTGGATCTTTGTGTGATGAAGGCCAGCCTGGTCTACATAGAGAGTTCCAGGCCAGCTGGGGCTACAGGGAGATCCCATCTCAAAACAAAGCAAAACAAAATAAAAAGAAACAAAACAAAACACAAAACAAATGTTTCCATGTTTTAAGGTGGTACCAATTTTGCCTGATGTAGGTTGATGTAGGTTGAATATTTGGAACAAAATTGGCTGTGTCAATAGTGCAATGATTTATTAGCAGATTTTAAAATTCTTTCCACATTTCCTAAGTATTATGACTACTAGAAGCATAAATGACATAAACAGAAGTATCAAAAGACTTTTTACATCTTGTATAAATCAGGCTCAGTTCATATGATTCAGATCCTTAAAGGAGTCAGTAATCCTTTAGCAAACCCACCCCTTGCCTCCCAGTGCATCAAATCCTAGTATGTTCCTAAAGCTTGTCATTTTAACCTTTTTAAAGACAGAAAATCAAGGCAAGAGTTTTATACCAAACACAGCTTCACTTACTCCCAAGATGAGCAACCAGGAGGTGACTTATACAACAGTGAGATTTCTTCAGTCTTCTTCAGAGTTACAGAACAGAGTAAGATCTGGTGACATTGAAGAGCCCAGAGAAGCTGACCCCAAAGGTAGATGATTTCTGTTTCTTATACACTGTACATGTTTGATGTTTGAAATGAGTATCCTGCCTGCACACTGGGTTCTCGGCTGGTACACAATGGCCAGAGTAGAAGAACAATGGTCTTTCTGTTTTAAGAAAATGAATGAAGAACTGAAAAATTACTTTGAATTTGAGAGACCATGAGGATATTTTTACTCAAATCCATTCAAGAAAAATTCATGAACCCTTTAAAGTAAATAACAAACTAGACTGAAGAAACATGGAATGTTCTAGACTAACAAACTCTTAAAGAAATAAAAAGTATGTGCTAAAAAATTGTTTTTACTTGAACTGAGTATACACACGCACACACACACACACATAGATAGATAGATGATAGATGATAGTTAGATAGATAGATAGGTAGATAGATGATAGATAGATTCCGAGATAGAGTTTTTTGACAGCATCTCCCTAGTCCTATCCCACTGTGGATCTCGCAGAGATCCAGCTGCCTCTGCCTTCCTAAGGCAAGCATTAAAGATGAACACCACCACACACAGTGTGAACCAAAAATGTTTCAAGTGTCTTATTTGTAAAACTTTAATAATAAGAAAGCAGCCAAAATCATTGAATCATAACTGTGTTTTCTGTTGTTTATTTTTGTCTGCCTTTCAAATATTGTCACAGTTAAATTCTCAGTTGAAATTTTTTACTTCTTTATATGGTGGTGATCAAAAACATGGTTTTCAGACACTAAAGGCCTCAAATGCACAAGGACAAATGCAGTATTGTCTAGAGAAAGTAGAATTTGTGGAAAAGAACAGTAAGTTGATTCTGTGATGGGCCCTACCGCAGTTCTGCTGCAGAGTATCCACCACTGCCTACAAATTTCTCAAGAACATTCGCTGACCTTTCCTTCTTCTTTGTGCTTGGTTGTGATCTCTTGATGGAATGCACACCTCACATTCTAGTTTGGATTCTCTGACACACATCAGGCCTATTGTTATCGGTGCTCTGTGAAAGATGCATTTTGGAATTCTATAGAACCAGGTCAGGCAGCACATGACTGTCATTCTATCTGCTTGTGAAGCTCAGTAGTGAAGACTGAGAGTTCAAGACAAAAGTGAGCAATAAAGCAATGAAATCCTATGGAACTGCTCCTGTGCATAGAATTTACACGATGGATGAATGTCAGCCAGAAATCTACAATATTGGCACTGCAACTTCAGTCAGTTTGCAGGACGGATCTGTGTAAAATTTTATAGGTGATTGTCTCTTTATTTGCCCTGTTGTCCCAGGTTCTGGTTACTGGCAGGTCAAGCTCTTTCCCTGGTGACGATTTTCTTGCTTTCTTTTGTTTAAGAGTGCACAGTGCCCTGGCATCGCGTCGCCGTGGCTCTCGGGGTCCTTTGTTTACTTCTGCTGATGGCAGTCGTAGTAGTGTTGGTGACACAGAGTGAGTAAATAAAATACATGTTTTTGGTTTAAGTAAGAACATTAGACACCAATTATGTAGTTACCAACATGCTCCATCTATTGTCTGGTCTGTAATCACAGGATGTGCAGCCGGGTCTGGACATCCTCAGAGGCTCACTTTTCTTTTCCTGGGCACATCGTAGTGTCCTTTCCTCTCACCTGTTCAGATGACTCTGGCGGCTGTGATGAGCTGCCTCATTTTACCTTATGCACAGTCACATTCCTTCTGATAACAGAGGACTGAGTGATAGTCTGCCTTCTGAGCTCAGATCACTGTGAATCTCATATAAACATTCTTTGAGGAACAGTTAGTTGTTGAAAAGAAATTATAGTTTCCTTTAGATCTTTTCCTAAAGTATACTTCAAAGACTGGCTGAGGCAAAAGAATAAATCTGTATGTGCATGTTATAAGATCTTTAGTTTAAGCTTTATCTTGTATTGAATTTTAACATTTTTAGCGAGAATCACTAATAGGCTGTGATCACATACAATTACATAGCCAGATTGTGCTTTTTCCTACTATGACTGTCTCAATTGCTCCAATACTAATTTTACCATTTTAACTGTTTATTAGTTCAGACTTTCATAGTATGTTAAGTGTTGAAGGACTGAAATTTTTTTATTTTCACACTTATTTGAAATTTTTGTGATAACTGTGAAAAAAAATGAAGGAATTGAAAAGTAAGGTATTTTCACCATTTTTTAAATTCAGATATTTATGTCACATGTTAAGTTTATGATACTAAAATATTTGATGCTATTTGTATGGTGAGTTATGTAAGGTGTTATTTTCTGAATGTTACAGTACTATTAAAGTAATGTATGTTTTGGCTGTCAAGATGAGGCTTTTTTCTTTTATTTTAAATTTCAGTACTTATTCCTTATGAGCATTTTTGTGCTTTATATCTGCTATAATTTTAGTTCAAGAACAAAAAAAACTGCAAAAAATACTGCAAAATGTCAGTGAAGAATATCTCAACTTGCAAAATGATATGAACTTAAAGGAAAAAAAGTTGGAAAATAAGTCTAAAGAGTATGAGAGCCTCAAAAACCTAACAGAAATGAAGAGATGTCATGTGAATAATAAGATCACTTTAAACTGTTTAAAGTCTACAGGTATGGAGGAAATCTTGAATAAAATACAGAATTTATTTCATATTGTTTCTTCTCTCAAAGCTTTGAGATGTAACATGCAGTGTATGAGCTCATGGCCTGTGGGATCATGGGCAATGTGGGTCTCTTAAATATAAGTGGGTTTCCTTATTTCAGGTAGAGAACTGGAGCCTCCCAAACGTGTTCGGATTAGTAGAACCTTATAGTTTCTAGCACTAATGGCCAGTCCGGTATTCCTCCTGCCTGTAGGAGATGAAATACTGTGTTGTCTCCCATGAAAATTCAGGTCACTTTGCTCCTGCGAGCAATTCTAAGTCTCCCACGTTGTTTGTGACATGGAATATGGAAGCTGTCAGTAAGAATATATTTACTAAATAATTAGGCTAAGAATGACTCAAGGTGTTTTATATGAGTGCAATTATAATTTTGTGTGTGTATTTTCATTCTGTCTTTGCTTCAGATGGTTGACCTATCTGTGATCGAAATATCCTCACTGCAGCACATATATGAGCTTTATCATAGCGTCCACACTTGTGCAGCTCCATGTAAGGATGCCACTAATCATGCCCAAGAGATGATGATATGAAATATAAATAAACTTTTTATTTTGCATAGGGGCTGTTTATCTTTAATTCACTACTCAATTAACATTCATCATTGGTTCAGGATTTAGTTTACAAAAAATTTGTATAGAATCTCAGTGTTATATAATAGGAATTTATTATCTTCACTATTAAATGATCAATAATATTTTAAAAACTGGTGCACTATAAAATATATGAAAGGAAAAAAATCCTAAAATAATGCTCTTGTCATTTCTGATCTAAAAATATTTCAGTTGATATTCTTAAAATAGGTTTATTATCTTTATAAAAGGGTATAATGCTATAATCTGAGCAATTAGGAAACTGAGTCAGGAGGATTGCAAATTTATGACCATCGTGGGGTATGCAGCAAGTTCAAAACCAGACTGAGCTGCTTTGTCACCTAGGAAAACAAGGGCTGGATACATAGTCGACTAGTACACTGTTGTTATCCCAAGCATCACGCAGAATTATCTCAATTTTATTGTGGTATTATTGCTCCAGAAAATGGCACATACTGTAATGTATTCAACTTTGTAAGTGTGGGAATACAGACATACCGGTGAAACCATCACCACAATCATGAAAACAGACTAACTTCTTCAAATGCTTCATCATTTATCTCTTTTTTCCCTTTTATGGCAAGAACACTTAACGTAGTGTTTGGACACCTTTTCTGTTACAGCAAATCTCTAAAATTTAATGATCCTGTGTAACTGAAACTGTCAAGCTAAAACTGTACAAGTGTCCCTTCCTCTAGGGAGTGACTTAAGCCTTTGTTTCTGAGATCATGGCTATGTTAGAAACCTCCTATGACTGGAATCATGAAAGATTATCCTGTGCCTGCTGTGTTTCACTTAGCATTATTTCTCAAGTTCATACACTTTCTCACATATGTTAGGATTTCTCGTTTTATGGGCGAGGTGAGAGACAGGGTCTTAACTCTGTATCCTGGGCTGGCTAGACTCAAAATGGTGATGATCTCCTGCTTTAGGCTGGGATTATAGGTATGCTTGACCATTCCAAGATGGATTTTCTTCCTTTTAAATGTTAAATAATATTCTTCTATGAAGGTATGCTTCATTTTCTCTATCCACATATCAATGATTAGATATTGAATTTTTTTATATGTTGGCATTTATAAACAATGCTGCATGGGACATGGGCATGCAGAGATCTCCTGCCACTCTAGAATTTTGATTTTTGAGAGCTATAAGATATGAGAAGAGCTTAAGTTTTAAGAGTTGTGAGATTTTATTTAGTTAGAGAGGCTTAATAAACGTATAGCTCTGCCTGACAGAATAACAGATAAGAGTCTAATGATTCACCTTCAATGTTGCAGGAAAACGCCTTGAAGGACATTGGTTCTGTTGTGGCACAAAATGTTATTATTTTATCATGGACAGTAAAACATGGAGTGGATGTACGCAGACTTGCCGCGAATGCAGTTTAACCCTTTTGGCAATTGATGACAGTGATGAACAGGTGCTGTATATTCTAAATACATGTTATTTTCTTGGACTCTGTTACCCTTGGAAAATAAGATGCTGGAGCCAGTGAGGAGTTTAGAAAGAAGGCCATTCAAGTGCTGTGTGTTTTATCTGTCATATGAGCAGAAATTGGGCACGTAATTCTCCCTGGAGACTCTGGCCTGCTGCTTTGTAAGCATTCAGCACACTGCAACTGTTATGATAAGCCTGGTTAATAAGGTTGCAGTTGGGTCTTTGCAAGAGCCTTCCTTCTAAAGGAGAGTCTCACAGAGATGCACGCTTTCACTGGATCAAGTTCAACCCTTTGGCAAATTCAGCCTGGCATCAACAAGTATTTATCTTCATAGAATGACAAATAAAACCCCACAGACAGAAGTCTGGGTTACTGTCAAGAAACCAGATGTGAGGTTGCTGGGAAGTGGTCAGTCTCCATCATTTGCCAGACAATTACTGTGTAAAGTAGTTGACTTCTGTGGTTCTATCTGCAAACAACATAATAGTAAAGACCATGGAAGTCATTACAGTTTTACCAGTCAGCCCCATGGTGGTATTCATTGCAACCATCCATAACATTTACCTCATCAGTATTCTTAAGTGTGTATACAGTTGTCTATCCTTGAAAAAGAATTTGTATAAGAGAAAATATAGTGGCCTTGATATCGAACTCTCTGTTAAGTTTATTACTAAATAAATAGAATATGATTCTTTAAAAAAATTTGCTTATTTTTTTCTGTGTATGAGTGTTTTACCTGCATATACGTAAGTATACCCATACGTGCAGTGCCTGAGAATGCTAGACAAGGGTCAAGAATCCCTGGAACTCAAGCTATAAACAGTTGTTGGCAGCCATGTGGCTGCTGGGAAATGAACGTGGGTACTCTGCAAGAAAAGTAAGTACTCTTGATCACTGAGTCATCTCTCCAGCCCCAGATTGTGTTTTCATAGAGAATCACTGGCAAGGATCATCCTGAAACCTCTATGTTCTTATAAATGAAAGTTAGGTGACAATATCCGAAATTTAATAGATTTTAAAAATTATAACATAACGTAATTATTAATCACAAATAGTGAAATAATTTTACAATGATGCAGTAATGTTGTTAAATTAAAACCTGTATTTTTAAAAAATTTAGTAATGTAGACTTCATGGCACTGTGATAATATATTTAAGTCATATTATAACATATTTAAGTCAGAAATATCTCTCCTTTCCTTCTTGTTCTTACATGGTCTGGACATTGAGCAACAGAGATGTTTCCTCTGTGAAAAATGGAGTTTTGATGCACTTTTTTCATACACACTGTTCATCTTAATTTGCTTTGATGATCCCTCCTGTCACTCAAGATGATGCAATGACCACTTCCCCACAGCCCTTATTCTTCTGGAAAAAGAGTTTAAATGGTTCTTTAAAGTACCAGGATCATATAATGAGGCAGATTTGCATATGTGTACTTGGAAGGTGGAAGCAGGAGGATTGTGACTTAGAAACCAGAGTGGGCTATAGTGAGACCACATCTCAGAAAAGAAGTCACGGTCACAAATGGCTTAGAGGTTCTTAGATACCTAAACTTTACCTCTTAAATTACTTGTGAAATCGATATCAATTTTGACTTAACTGTTCTACCAATGGAAAATCACTTTAGAAAATGAAAAATGGAGGGTTGAGGGGAGAGAGGACAGGGCAGCAGAGAACTGACAGGAACAGCCCACCCTTTCCTGTTGTTCTGTTTACTCAGCTCACAGATGAGAACTTTATCATAAGATGTATTTAATTTCCTTTACAGGACCGCCTTCGGTCCCAAGTTAATGGAAACAATTACTGGATTGGATTATCATATGATAAACAGGAGAAGGAATGGAAATGGATTGACAGTGGCTCATCTAACCTGTGAGTTTGTGGAACCATTCAGACACTAACACTGGTGTGGGAGCTGAAAGGACCTTACAAGAGTGTCCTAAAATTTCACACAGCTTTACTCATGTCAAATGGAGGTCAATAGTAAGAACAACAAGATGAAAATATCTGAGCAAGCTGTTTGAAAAGGAAGAGAAACAGGCTTTTGACTCCTAATAGCAATATAAGCAATACAATGCCTAACAGAAGCTCTGAAGAAAGTTCCAAGATGCACAGGGTCAAACCAAATAAAAATTTTAAGGTGATGTGAAGTGACTAGATCATCCTGACAGATATGAGTTTTAGTATCCCCAGCAATCATATGACACATATAGGTAGTTTTTATGTTTATTTATGAATATTCAAATAAAGGCATGTACACACATTCTTATCTATTTATACTTCCCATTTTAACGTGCAGCCATGTAAATTATGAAGTTCACATTTGCTTCTAATCTTCTATAAACTATTTATGGATTGTTTTACAAATAGAATTATACTTTTGTTCTTAGGAATTCTGTGTTTGTCTTTAAATAACTTTGCTAGCTATTTATATTTTCAAATTCCCTTTTTAGTTTTTAAAAGTCATTTTAAGTTTTATTATTTTGTTGTTGTTGCTGTAAGACAGGGTTTCATGTAGAGCAAGGTGGCCTTGAAATCCTGGTCCTCCTTCCTCTACAACCCAAAAGCTGGGATGACAGGCCTGCCTCACTCTGTCTGATCTGCTGTCATTTATGTCTTGGAAGATATTAAATATATTTATTTTATACTAGGATTTGGAAGCGATCAAGTGGCATTTCTTTTTAATGAGCTTAAAGAAAAAGAAAATCTTTCAGTGTTGAATTTCTGATTAATGCTTCTAAATTTTGACCAATAAGATTTTTTTTGGTCTTTTTGAGACAGGGTCTCCCTGTAGCCAAGCTAGCCTGGAATTGACCATGTAGATGAGGCCAGCCTTGAATACATAGAGATCTGCCTGCCTCTTCCTCTAGCGTGATGGGATCAAAGGCGTGCGCCTCCACTCCTGGTTTTGCTAATAGAATTTTTTTAAAAAGAACACAATTTACCTCAATGTAAGCCTCAACTGTAAATAATTGCCCATTACGTTTCTTGTTCTACAGCGATTTGACAGCATTGAATTTACAATGTCGAGTAGGAATGTGTGCATTTTTTACTTCAACAAGAATAGAGGATAGTGACTGCGGTAAAACCTACCCGTGCATCTGTGAAAAGAGAATGGACATGTTCTCTGATTCAGTGTGCAACAAGAAGGAAAGGTAAACACAGAATGTGTCATTTTTGTGTTTCCTGTAGTAGTCTGTGACCGCTCACAGTGAGATGTTTCTGACCACAGGATTTAGTCAACTGGGCAAACGGAGCAAGGAGCTGGAGGAGGAGGGTAATGACCTCCTGGAATCTGACTTACCAGATCATAGCCATTTTTCTTCCTGGAGGAGACAGAGCAGCTTGTCTGGAGGGTGGGCATCCTTTGCTCCAAGGTCTTGAGGAATCACTCTTTCTGTGTCCTGAGCCACCCACAGAACCAAATAAAAAACTCTGATAAATGGATATTTCATTACAATAGGAGAAATCATTTCAATACCTTTTGGCTTTAATGACATCGTCACTACAATGTACCTGTGTTTCTGTTTATTTTTTGGTTACTGTGTGCTATTTTTTACATTTAGAAAATGTCATCATCTTTATAAACATTTATTTCATTTTTCATAAAATATAATTTCAAACTTGATGACTAGTTGTAAGAATATTTCAAGGAATTCTCAAACAAGCCTTAAACATAATTATAAGTTGCTTATATTTTGCATGATCTCTGGCTCATCTCTTGCTGAACCAATTGCTAATATGGTAATATTGATTGAGGCCAGCTAGGTGTGCTCGCTCAGGCTTGTAATGTTATAAACGCATAAGGTTGAGGTCAGCCTATGCTACATAGCAAGTTTGAGGTCATCCTGGATTACAGAATAAGAAGGTATCTAATGAATGCAAATAATAATAATAATTATGATAATACCCAAACTGTACCTAAATATTCTCCAAGGACAAGCAATTTCTCCTATAAAATTATACTAAAATGATCAAACCCAAAAAATTCAGTACTGATATTGTAATATGTTCTTATCCATAACCATGTTCATATTTATCAATTTATTTATACTGTATGTCACAATTGTTTTCTCCATGTTCAAGATCATGTAGTGCCTTCACTTGTGATTTCCTTTCTAGTGATATTTAGTGATAAACAGTTATTTACTTATGATTTGTTATTTTGGCTTTCACATTGTAATAATCATGCCCTCTTATGTTTGAGGATTTCATACATGAACACACTATGTGCACATCATTTCTCTCATTTCCATCTCCAGTTTCTCCCATTTCTCCAACTACTTCCTCAAACCAACCCAAAACCAAAACCAAAACAAATTGGTTCTCCTTCTGTAAGCATCACCCCTGCCGACTGCCTGTAGCTCTTCATCTATGGGTGTGTCCTGTCAAATATATCTTTATCTGTTGGCATGTTGATGGGTGCTTTGCCTTTGCATGTCTTGTTCATAGGAACAACATTCCTGTTTTGTTCAGAAAAAGTTATCACACAGCAATGTTTTGGGCTTCAGGCTCTTTTACTGCCCCCTTCTTCCATGATGCTCCCTTAGATTTAGGGATAGAGGATGTTATAGATGTCCCGTTTGGGGTGGGCTCCCCATGGTCATTCATCTTCTGTATTCTGACCAGTTCTGGAACTATTAGTCTTCATCGGCTGCGAAAAGAAACTTCTTTGATAAGATGCGAGAGCTGCGTTTATCTATAAGGATGAGAATTTAAAAGGCAGCTGGAAGATATGGTAGTGAAAGGTTCTATTCCATGGCCGATAACCTCTCCATCCAGGGGTTCTTGGCTAGTTTCATACTACCAGGCATTAGTTCCCTCCAAGTGAGGGGGTTTGAGGTTCGGTTAGATAATTGCTTTTTGCTTCCAAAGTATAAGTGCCACTGTTGTACAGCAGGGTTATCTTGTTAGACCTGTCATTGTGTTTGCAGGCTTCATGGCTGGGTAGAATTATTGTTTACTTTTCTACCTTAGCATCTTGCATAGCACCTTCCAACACTATGAAAGCCAGCTCTCAAGGAAAGGGTTCCATATCATTACTAGGTTGGTTTCTCCTGGTCCTTTGACCAAATTATGTGGTGTCTTCAGCTACAGGGTCTTATCTTGATGTTGTGTCGGGCATCCAAGAGCAAGTCCATATCCTCTGTTGTTTTGCAAATCTTGGAGCTCCCTGACCAATAACCCTAAGGGAGTTATCTCATGCCTTGCAATGACGTTTTGTTAGATAGTCTATTGCTGCCGGGAATTGCCTTATGCCACTCTGTGGGTTAACTGCATTAAAACTATTATATATATACATATATATATGTATATGTATAAAATCTATCTATCATCTGTCAATCTATCTATCATCTATCATCTATCTATCTATCTATTGATCTATCATCTATCTGTGTTTGTCTCTCAATTGCTGTGACAAAACACTTTGACCACTACCAACATGGGGAGGAAATAGTTTGTTTGTCTTACATCTCCCAGGTCACAGTTCATCAGGGAGCCCAAGGTAGGAACTCAAGGCAGGAGCCTGGAGTCAGGAGCTGGAGCCCAGAAGATGGAGGATCACTTTTTACTGGCTTGCTCCCCTGGCCCCTGCTCACCCTGATTTCTTAGGAAACACAGGCCCTCCTTCCCAGGGGTGGCACCACCCACAGGGGATTGGTCCCTCCTACATCACTTAACAATCAAGAAGATGCTGCACAGATATGGCATCAGGGCAATCCAATAAAGGAAATTCCTTAATTGAGGCTCCCGCAACCCAGGTGAGTCAAGTTGAAACTAAAGCTATCCAGCACACTATCTATCATCTATCTATCTATCTATCTATCTATCATCTATCTTATCATCTATCTATCTATCTATCTATCTATCTTTCTTTCTTTCTATCTATCATCTGTCTATCTATCATCTATCTATGTATCTATCATATATCTATCATCAATCTATCTATCATCTATCTATCATCTATCACCTATCATCTATCTATCTATCTATCATATATCTATCTATCTAATCTACCTTTCTTTCTGTCTATCTATCATCTATCTATCATCAATCTATCATCTCTCTATCTTCTATCTATCTATCTAATCTACCTTTCTTTCTGTCTATCTATCATCTATTTATCATCAATCTATCTTCTCTCTATCTTCTATCTATCATCTATCACCTATCTATCATCTATCTATCATCTACCTATCTATGTTTCTATCATCTATCTATCTATCATCAATCTATCTATCATCCATCTTCTATCACCTATGTATCTATCATCTATCTATCTATCTATCTATCATCTATCTATCATCTATCTATCTATGTATCTATCATCTATCTATCTATCTATCTAATCTACCTTTCTGTCTATCTATCTATCATCTATCTATCTATCATCAATCTATCTATCATCTATCATCTATCTATCTATCTATCTATCTATCATCTATCTATCTATCATCAATCTATCTATCATCCATCTTCTATCACCTATGTATCTATCATCTATCTATCTATCTATCTATCATCTATCTATGTATCTATCATCTATCTATCTATCTATCTATCATCTATCTATATCATCAATCTATCATTTATCTATCTCCTATCTATCATCTATCACCTATCTATCTATTATCTATCTATCTATCTATCTATCTAATCTATCTGTCTATCTATCTATCTATCATCTATCTATCTATCATCAATCTATAATCTCTCTATCTTCTATCTATCTATCATCTATCTATCACCTATCTATCATCTATCTATCTTCTATCATCTATCATCTACCTATCATCTATCTATCTATATATCTATCTATCATCTATCATCATCTCTCTATCTACCACCTATCTGCTATCTATCTATCTATCTATCTATCTATCTATCTATCTATCTATCATCTATCATCATCTATCTACCACCTATCTGCTTTCTATCTATGTTGGGTGGGATTAGTGCATGCCTTTAATCACAGCACTCAGGAGGCAGAGATAAATGGATCTCTGTGAAATCAAAAGCAGCTGGTCTCCATAGTGAGATAGTGAATTTCAGGCTGGGGCTACTGAGAGACCTTGTTTTGAAACACACACACACACACACACACACACACACACACACACACAAAATGTGATTTTTTTAACTTATGAATTTGGGTGTCCTCTTTCTTTTTATGATCTTTTTGAGACAGGATCGCCCTGTAGCTCCAGCTGACCTGGAACTCACTATGTAGACCAGGTCAGACTGAAACTCACCAAATCTACCTGCCTCTGCCTGCAGTGTGCTGGGATCTAATGCATGTGCCACCATGCCTGGCCTTTCTCTTTCTTTCCGTTAACTTGGCTAAGGGTCTGTCACACTTTTAATTTTTCCTCAAAGAACCAGCTCTTAGATTCATTAATTTTTGTTTGCTTTTATTTCATCAATTTCTGCCCTGATTTCTATTATTTCTTCTCATATACTCGTTTTGGGTTTGTTTCTGAAATGGCAAAACTAACTCCATTTTCTTCTAGCTGAATTTACTTCACCCTGTGTTTTTGCCCAGCATTCCCACTGCAGCCAGCCAGGCAGATGGTCTCATGCAGGTATTTTTAAGGAGTCCATTGTTTCTACAATACTGAGAAACTTACAAGTAGCCAGGTAGAAGGTCAAGATAGCACGTCCCCCCTCTCAGCTCTACTTGCATCTCTATGGAGCCGACTGTTTCTGCATTCTGAGAAACTTGGTTTGCTCATAACCAAAACTTTTTGTTAATTGTATATCTCTTTGTTAAATGACCTGCCCCTGTTCTAGTGTAACTATGGTGATCTGATGTCACTATGATTATTGGCTTTACCCCTGTCATGATGTAATTGTGTTTTTAAGCTTTATAAGTCCTGCCCTGCTTCTCCTTGCGGTAGAGAGTTCTCTTGGTCATGAGCCCCCCTCTGACCACTGGCTTCCTGGCTAGCTTATAGAGGACTCCTAATTTCAATTTCACTATGTGGCATTCCTCTCTGCAATTTCGCTTGGTATTAATTTTCCAAAACACTAGTGGTGCATCACTAAGCTATATTTGTGCTTTTTCTGATTTTTTTTCATGGAGCTAACTAGATATATAAATTTCCTTCTTAGGACTCCTTTTTATGTGCCTGAGAAGTTTTGGTGTAATGTGTTT